GTTCACTGTTTAATGAATGTTGTGCAACCTGCAGTCACATTATAAACAACATGGCAGGTGATTTGGGCACACAGTATTAGTGCACACACTGATAATGGATTGATGAAATAAAAAAACAAATCAATAAATGCATTTTCTGTTATTTTAATTTCATAAGTATTTTATTTATTTATTTCTACTTTCATAACTATTTATTACTTTTTTTTACAGATTATATTCATTACAGACTTACACACACATACACTCACACACACACACACACACACACACACACACACACACACACACACACACACACACACACACACTCACACACACACACACACAACAATAACTGAAATACAACATTAAACATATACTGAGCAAATCTGTCTGATTCCCACAAACTCACACGCGCGCACACACACTCACACAAACACACACACACACACACACACACACACACACACACACTCAGCTGTGTTTTTGTGATATATGAGGACATTCCATAGGCGTAATGACTTTTATACTGGACAAACTGTATCTTCTATCCCCCGACACTGCCCCTATCCCTAAACCTACCCATCACAGGAGACATGCTGCATTTTTACATTTAAAAAAACCCATTGTTTTTTATGTTTTTTAAGCTATTTGAAATATGAGGACTCATGCAATGTCCTCATATATCACGTGTAAGTTGTAATACCAGTGTAATATGCATGTCATTATACACATTTGTGTCCTCATATATCACAAAAACAAAAGACACACACACACACACACACACACACACACACACACACACACACACACACACACACACACACACACACACACCAACTGTGAAATACAACATTAAACATCCTGAACAAATCAGTTTGATTCAAACAAACTCACACACAATCATTGTGGCGCCTTTTTGACATCTTGCATTCATCTGCGCATTTCTGGGAGATGGCCTTCTTAATTATACTTGCTTCAATTTTAAATTTATTTTTGATGTAGCCTGTAAGGAAAGAAACAAACAGAACATAAGTTTACAAACCATAATGATTATTGAGTAATGGTATTGGGCATCTATGTTGACAATAGAACTCCTCAAGGGAAGCCTGTGCCTATATTCTTCTTCACTATAACATACTAGGGATTAGGGCTGAGAGAAAAAAATCGATTCACCTAGCTATCGCAGTTTTTTTATCGATTCTAAAATCGATTTTTTTATTCCAGAATCGATATTAATTCAAATTCAATTGCTTTATTTTTCGTCCTTGCTTGTAGATAAGGTTAAAATAAGTTAGCCACTTTCGTTGCAACAGAGGATGAAATGTGTCGTTATCTATGAGTGTTGAGTGACGTAATATCCCAAATGCACGATTCATCTTTAAAAGGCTGTGATCTCGATTCAAACACCCACGCGATCTTTCAATTCGTCTGTCTATTAAACTTTGACAAAATCATATCGCAACATTCAAAACTGTGTTGGCGCTGACTTGGAGAGAGTCGTCATGAAACAGCTTTTCACAAACACTCTTTTCAACATCATAGTATCATTATTTCTGTGATGCAATAGTTCAAATGATCATAGAAGTACTGGGATAAAAGTTTAAAGTTCAAATATGAACACTGATGTCTACGATAGCAATCAAAATCAGCTTTTGATAGAAACTTGGTGCTTAAAAAAAGGCATTTATCGATTACATTGTTTCGCCACTAAGTGACTGTTAAATGTTTTTATGACACATCCGTTATGACAAATTCGGTCCGGCAAGCTTTAAATGGTAGCATACCAGCTCTGCTGAGGTTCCAAGTGTACCGTATGGATACTAAAATGTGACGTGAAAACACTACAGATCACTGATTGGTCAGAGGATTAACAACACGGGACACCAAACTGCTAGATTTAAATAGTCAGTAACAGCCACTGCAGTTGTATTAAACGACTTGCTTGAAAAATTTTTTTTTTACAGTTCGCACACATCTATTTTTAGTCGCAAATGCGAGTGAAATGCTCGCACTGTCGAGCCCTGTTGCTCTAAAGTATTTTGCTCTAAAAAAGTAGATACTTTTCCAAATTCCTGAGTATAATTATATCCTGTTGTTTTATATATATATATAATAATAAAAACCTGCCAAAACTTGATTTTCAGGAAAATAAACTCACCAATTATGTCAGACACTTTTTGAGCCTCCAGTTGTGGCTTTGCTTCTTTGTCTTTGAAGGCATTGGAACTTTTTCCTGTGTAGCAGTGTGTTGCCAGTGTTGCTCTTCCAAAGACAGCCACCAGGAGGTCTTTTGTTGCTTTTTTTGCATCTGTCCATTTCATGTGGCCAAACTGTTCGGCACCGATGGATGTGTTGGGGCCAATTCTAACCTGAAAACAGTGATCGAACAATGAAACAGTAACAGAGTTAAAGTGAACTTAATAATATTTTGTTTGTTATGATGAAACCTATGAGTGTAGATTAAGAATCATCCAAGAGCAAAAGTTACTGATGCCATTGTAGAAAGCACTATTTTTTGTCAGCCATGATTAATTCATTCTGTAAGTGGACGCAATTACGATAAGACAGCCCAGGTGAATAGGGTCAGTGCTGAGCCGAGCAGTTTGCACGTGACTTCTATGCAGTGTTTACCACAATTAGACTAATTTGCTGCGCCACAGAATCAACACCGGCCGCCACATAGCCTATTGCGTTTCGTTCATTTTTTTAATGTTATTTAAAACATGCAGGGTATTCCTTCAGTTGCATTTCCTTTCCCTGCTCCCTCTCCGTCTCTCTGTCACTCACGCGTAACTGTACGTTCACACTGCCACCGACTTGGGCGTCAAAGAAGCTCTGACCGCCCTGTCAAGGACGCTTGTCAAAAAGCACGGGGAAGCTGGTTGACGCTTTGAACGCTCTGACGTTGTAGGGAGAATAGAAGTGTCATAACATAAAACAGAAAAAAAATAGCAATACATTGAAGAAACCTTTTATAATGACAGCATTTTTATATAGAATAGTTAGCTATTTTTATTATTATTTGCGGTCAAATCGGTGTCACCTTGAGCAAATGAATTGCATTCCCGCTTTAAAAAGAGCGTTCGTAAATATTTCAAATAAAAGTTGCGCTCATGCGGTCCCTATAAGCAAACAACGTCATGTCATAAATGATAGGAAACCCAGCAACGGCGATTATTAGCTTCTCTTCCATTTTCTCGGAACTATTGTTTTGGTAGGAACTAAAGTTTCCATTGTTTGTTTCTCCGGAATCAGCCAGCACGAAGGACGTCTATATTCCGATTGGTTGCTGGCGTTTTGCCGCTGCTTGCCGCTGAACCGCGTCATAGCTCATTTGAGCTTCTTTCAACTTTCTGATTGACGCTCAAAACGCCCAAAACGCAACGCCGATGGATTTGACGCTCCTTGCAGCTGAGAAAAGCCAGCTTCCATTGAAAATGAATGACTTCCGGCCGCTTTGGAAGCTCAAGTCGGCGGCGGTGTGAAGTCACCATCTCAAACTTCGAATAAAAAAATGGAATCGTCGATGCTGCCACGTCGCCATGTCACTTCCGGTCGGCGTGCCAAGCGGAAAAAAAACATGTGTGTTGAAGTGCTGCGAGTCTATGGTCAACCTCCTCTAACTTAGCTACAGCCATTCAAAAGATAGCATGGCAACTGTAGAACTTCGACAGAACTTGAACCCATAGGGCTCTATCAATCCAGCCGACGGTGACGTCACACGCATACCCTCTATTGACATACTTCTCCAAATGATTGATTACATTACTTGCAAACATTTTTGTAATACAAGTTTTCTGAAATGTTATGTTTAAGTATGCACTAATTTGCATATATCTCTAGAAACAATAATAACAAACATTGGATGTAGTTGTCAGGATTATGTTGTTTACTTTTGTTCCTTTAAAGTCTGACAATTCTGTCCATTTTACATACCGTAATCTGTATCATCTCTCATGTAAAATGGCATTTTTGGTTTTTGTATGAAAGAGAAAAAAGGCTGAAAATATGAACCGAACATAGTTCACACTGCAGGCAAAAGTGGCCCAAATCTGATTTTTTTGGGGTCAAGTGACCAGGTCAGACTTCTTCAGAGGTAGTGTGAAAACTCAAATCTAGCCCAGATCTGATTTTTTCAAATCAGATTTAGACCACATACATATGTGGTCCTGAATCAGACCCAGATCTGATTTTTTTCAATGCGGCCGCAGTGTGAACAATCAAGGCGGATTTGATGCGACTTTTACGTCAATCTACGTCGACATTTGTCACAATTATGCGCCGGCGAAGCCCTAGACACAACAGACACAGACAGTAGCCTAACATTAAAAACTTGACTAGATATGGAGAACAGCGATGAAGCGAGTCAATGAGAGTGAGGTGTTAGATCTAAGTAGTAAATGGGTAGTAGAAAAAATAGTAGATACTTCAATTCAAGCTAGAAGGACCTACCGTAACCGCTCCGTTTTTGAAAAAATTGCACACGAAACGGAAGAACGGGGACACAGGAGAACAGCGTCTCAGTGAAACTATTCACGACATATTCCCACCACTCCTGGCTTCGTCTACGCATCCACACAGATCTCTGTAGTGAATTTGCAACCATAAACCCGCAAAAGTTTCCATTCACAAACATTATGAAATAAATGCGGATATGCTTTCTTCCTCCATAACCTCCCGAACTTTAGTGCAACCGCGTGCTGCGTCTGATGTCATTGTTATTGTTCTTTTGCGCATGCCGGTTAGTTTGAAACCTCAAACAGTTCACACTGCAATCAGATATAGGTCACATTTTAAAAGATAATGTGAACAGCCAATCAAAAAATCGGATCTGAGCAAAAAATCTGAATTGAGCATTAGGACTTGCAGTGTGAACGTGGCCATAATCTAACAATTCTGACTTCTTTTAATATATAAACTCCTGTGGGAAACACTGAACCATAATATACATTTTTGACCAAATCATGCAGCCCTAGTAAGAAAGCATTTTGAATGTTACTTAAAAACAATACCTTTTTGCAGTCATTATAATTACTCCTAGTCTCCTTTACATGAAGAGGCAGTAGAGAGGAAGGGGCAGGTACCACAGGGGAAGACTCTGGGGCTGGCAAATCCGAAGTGCATCCAGGGAGAGTGTGTGCTGGTGCAGTCATTAATGGAGTGCATCCTAGAACAAAATAGGTTTTAATATCTTTTGAAGCAATCACTTAAAAAAAATAAAAACTTTTCATAGGGTTACCATTTTTTAAAAGTGTTAGAGTTTCCACAAGAACACTCTTAATCTCTTTTAATTCAGCCAAAATTTGTTGATTGACTCCACTGTCATTACTTGTCCTTGTTGATGTTGTTGCCTCCCTGCTTGATTCCTAGAATTGTAAAACATTTGTTAGTGCAGTTTGTATGTAATTAAAACTTGCTGAAAATGTACTCAACATCAAACCATCCAAGATGTAGATGAGTTTGTTTCATAATTTGTAACAGATTTGGAGAAATTTAGCATTACATCATTTACTCACCAATGGATCATCTGCAGTGAACGGGTGCTGTGAAAATAAGAGTCTTGTGAGAACTTTAATAGTAGATTTAATAAGAACCAATGTATAATTTACAGTGAAGTCTATGTAGTGTTTTATTTTTTATATTTGTTCATTTAATTTCTTTCTTGTATGCTACTGTTAAATACATCTACTGTTGCTGGAAAAATAAAGCAGTGGGAAGAATGAGTCTAGAGCCCTGATATATGTAACTTCGTTGAAATAATCTTACTTTTTCAAGATTATACTGCTGCAGAAAGGATCTGGCGGCTCTTATCCTTTTGACGCTCTTTTCAGAAACTTGTTTACTGACCGACTGTAAATAAAAGAGAATTGTACAATTACAAATATAACCTTCAAATTAGCTGAAAGTGGCAATCATCTGGGTCTAAGCAACAATAGCTTATCAGGTTTCGACATTATATATTGTCATGTGCTTGTCATTCGGACGCCATTCTTCTTATGATGTAACGAGTACATCAGGATTTAAGGGAAGTGTTCCCGGTTCCGGCTGACCTAATCTATGCAGCCTAACATTGAATTATAGAAGTCTATAGTGTGTTATGTGTATGCTAGGTCAAAGAGATGTGTTTTTAGTCTAGCTTTGAACTGACAGAGTGTGTCTGCTTCCCAGAAAATATTAGGAAGACTGTTCCAGAGTTATGGTGCTAAATATGAAATGGATCTACTGCCAGCACTCGATTTTGATATTTAATAAACAAGGAGTTAATATCGTGTTAGATATTAGACAAAATGGGGTTAGGGTTACCACAAACCGCATCATCCTAATTTACCTCATATTCTTCACTGCTTTCTGATTCAGAAAGTATTCTGCTATACTTCTGGCGCTGCCCTCTCCCTAATTCTTCATTCCCTTCAGGTCTGGATCTTTTAATGGACTGATTTTTCTCAATAGAATGAAGCTGCTTAAGCATGGCAGATCTAGTTCCTGAAATGATTAATAATTATTATCACAACATGCATCAATTGTACCACAGTAATGCACAGACATATTACAAAAACATACTTACCAACGTTTAGAATTTTTGCAGGGCTGGATTCTTCTTTGTACTGTACATCACATACACCACCAATTTCACACTGTCCATTAATAACTTTTCAAGTTGGAAGCACATCCCATGTTGGGGGATCTTCAATCCATTGGATTAACATAAACCTCATTTTCTTAATAGGATAAAAAAAAAAATAGACAATATTCTGTCAATTATAATGCTTTTGATGTGTGGGCAAAACAAAGAGTGTTTATCCAAATATTATATGCTTTGATGTTTAATGTAAAAGACATGAATGTTTTATAGGTGTATTAATCTCTTGTTAAGGTTTTGTTCGATCTGGACCTCAATTCAGACATAGCTTCGCACCAGCCGGTGGATCTAGCCGTGTTACTGTAGTTGCGTGCCTGTATGAGTCTCGTACATTATGACAACCTGTTGCTTGCTTTCTTTTAGGAGAGATACGCTCAAGGTCAAAGAACACAAGTTGTTTCTCGTTTATATTGCAAGGTTTACAGTGGATTTAGAACAGATAAGGGTAATTTCCCTCTAAAATGATGTTTAAAACTGTTACTAAGCAACCAGCAACAGAAACGTAACGTTAATGTCCGAGATATAACGTTAACCGACAGCCACTGATGATGAAGTCCATTGTGATGTTAACTACAAAAATAACGTTTAAGAAATGACTTAAGTTTCTAATTATGGTGTATTTCTACTTAAAAGTTTCTACTTATGGTGTAAGTAGTTGATAAATGTAACGGTAAGACCGTTAAACATGATCTAATTATATAACTGTTATCGAAAAGCAGATGACCAACGTTACTGACCAGTCTTAAAATGTTACGAAAAAAAAAACATTTTACGCAGGTTTACACATAAATATTTCTAGATTGTGTCAAATGTTAATATAAAGAAACGTTTAAATATGTTACTTACAATTGTTTGTCACAGTTCGTCGTCTTCGTCGTCGTCAAGAAAGTTGTATGATCGTCTCCTCTGACCGTTGCGCTGCAGTGAGCAAGGATGCGCATGCGCAATTGAATGGTCATGCCTACGATGTGAGTTGTGGGCGGTGTTCTTTGTATGAATGAATATACAAATTATTTTCCGTTCAGTTTTTATTATGTTGACTTTCTAACGCCAAGATTTTGTATTATTATTTATTATTATTATTTACATATGCAGTACGTTATACATATTCAATATTTCCACAACAGTGACCACAAATGATTCCTCTAAACAAGAAGATATCCCTACATTGAAATGAATGCAAAACAACGAGGCCCTTACAAAAGGTACCCTATTTTTACAACTTGAATCTGAGTATAGATAATTCAATACATTTGAAATAATTAATTAGTAAATTTTAAATATTAATAATGCAAATTATTTTTTTATAAACATTGTACATCTAATACAATGTTCACTGTTATTTATATAATTATTTGTGTATTTTACTGCAGCAAGTGCTACAAAATCACAAAGCTTTGTACCATTTTGATTAAGTAAAAAATGGAACAACTTCAAAACACGAAAATGACTGAAAAGTACCAGAGGGTTAAATAAAAATTATATCTTTATCATTTTATTACTTGAAAGCACTGTCACATGTTAAAATAGTCTTTGATCATATTACTAGATTTTTGGATCCAGAATCGAGTTGCCCCCTTCCAAAGACAAGTCGATGGCGGACAAACAACACTCCTCATTACAATTGGGATGATACCCATCAGAATGAATCCCCTGCAGACAGTGAGGAAGACGAGGAGGAATTTTATGATTCTGTTGATGAAATGGACCATGGTGAAGATGAGTGGAGTGACACTCAGGGAGATTTAGACTCTATGGATGACACTGCTGTCACAAATTCTGATTCAAATTCACAATTTGAAAAATCTGGGGCCCCTCTTTACACAGGATCAGAGATAACAATTGCACAGGCAATAGTTCTAATTTTGTCCTTCTCTCTGAGGCACAGTTTAACAGCAAGTGCTGTGGAAGACCTTTTAAAGCTCTTAAATGTCTTTCTCCCGAGTAGCAACATATTGCCAGAGTCTCTCCACCTCTTCCGAAAAATATTCCATGATCCATCTGAGTCTCTAAATGTTCACCTTTTCTGCAACATTTGTCAAACATATCTTTCAAAGAACAACATGCATTGTCCAGAGTGTAATGAGATAAATGACCCAAAAAAGAATATTGCAGAAGGCAATTTTTATATAAGTCTCTCTATCGAGGACCAGCTAAGAGACATCCTACAAAAAGATGATTGTGCATTTCAATCAGAAGTATATGGAACAAATGATGTGAGAAAGGGTGAAATGTATCAAACACTCCCCAATTTCACAGCTAATGACATATCACTACTATGGAACTGTGATGGCATTCCAATGTTTAAATCTTCACCTTTCTCATTGTGGCCCATCAGATGTGTAATAAATGAACTCCAACCAAATGTTCGTTTCAAAAACATGATACTCGCAGGTGTCTGGTTTGGGCGTGGTAAACCTGACATGTCCACCTACCTTAAGCAATTTGTGGATGACATTCTAAAAATCAATTCACAAGGTCTGGAATGGAAGCACCCACATACAAAAAGAACTGTGGTGTCTAAAGTTTTCCCTATCGTATGCTCATGTGACGCAGTAGCCCGATGTATGCTTCAAGGTATACATCAGTTCAATGGTGCATATGGATGTGGACATTGCTTAAATGAAGGGAAAACAGTGGCAAAAGGAAGAGGATATGCCAGAGTATATCCACCCACTAAGGCACAGAAAAGAACCCATGACCATGTCATTGAATGTGGGCAGAGGGCCATTGAGAATGATGTTGACCATGTGTTTGGGGTGAAGACAGTATCACCATTGGTCCTCCTGAATCCCTCCACTGGTTTTGACATTGTGAACAGCTTTCCAATTGACTACATGCACTGTGTTCTCTTGGGAGTGACAAAGCAATTCTTGGACTTGTGGTTCAATAGCAAGTACCATGACAGCCCTTGGTACATTGGGACATCACATAAGCTTGTTGATCAAAGGCTGCTTACCATCAAACCTCCATCTGATATACCAAGAATACCACGGACTGTGAAAGTTGCGCAAAGGTGGAAGGCTGCAGAATGCAGAAGCTGGCTATTATTCTACAGTGGTCCTGTTCTGTTCAAGATTCTTCCAACAAAATTTTTGAAACATTGGCTCCTTCTGGTCACTGCCATTTTTTGCTTTCTGAAAGACACTGTCACAGAAAATGACTTGGCAGCAGCAACATCCAAGATCACAAAGTTTGTGCAGGAGATACCAACGACATATGGCTTGTGCCAAATGTCCTTCAATGTCCATCAGCTTACACATTTGCCCTTCTCTGTCAAGATGTATGGACCTCTTTGGTGTACATCTGCATTTTCATTTGAGGGTCACAACCAGAAACTGAAGAGGTTGTGTCATGGAACAAATTATATCCCATCTCAAATTGCACGCCAATTCAACATACTTCAGTCAATTCCCCAACTACTTAAACGAACAACGACTAGTGCTGATGTCTCAAATAGGGTGGGCAAACTTGTCAATGACTGGCTAGGTGTTTATCCTCTTGTTGCTAAGGCACAAAAGCTAGAAGGTCTTGTTTTGCTGGGATGTTCTCGACAAAAAATGTTAGATCACAAAGATAAGTTCTTAATGCTCCCAGTCTGTGATCTATCTGAAAATGATGAGTACTCTGCAGAGACATATGACAGAGCAATTGTGAATGGACAACTGTTAACGACAGAGAAATATGGAAAAGAGTACAAACACAACAGTTTTACTGTTCAGCTAAATAATGGTTGCATTGGAAAGATTGAGTCAATTGTAAATATCATACATGATCACAAAAACAATCCGCTCATCCAAGTTCAGCTTTTACAAACCACACTTGCTGGTTTTGTGTCTGAAGGATCTCCTTTCCATATAAAAGAAGTGGTGCCAACTCCAACACGTATGATTGTAAAACCTCTGGAAATTGTCCGCAAAGTTGTGCACATTTGCTTGAAAAAAACATGCTATATTGCATTACAACCAAACAGCATAGAGCTTGACTGATGTATAGGCCTAGCATAGAGCTCAGCTGATGACTGAATATTTTTATAGTGAGCTAACTGAGCTGCATGGTGTTCCTGCAAGTGTAAATAAATCCTTTTATTGTATGGACTATATGACATTCTATCTAAATTGTTATATTCTTTTATTTATGAATCTATCTATAATGTAGGCTATATAATTTCTGAATTGAAATGATTAAAACGATCTTGCTGTATAAATGTTAATAACATTATATATTTAATGTTATATATTTAATATAATATATTTAATATTTAATGGTGTTCCTGAAAGTGTAAATAAATCATTTTATTGTGTCGACTATATGACATTCTACCTAAATTGTATTTATATTCGTTTATTTGTGAATCTATCTATAATGTATATAATTTCTGAATTTAAATGATTAAAATTATTTGGCTGTATAAATGTTTATAATATTTAATTGTAATTACCTGGAAAAACAGCACAACATACAGAAATGATATAGAATTAAAAAATATATATACTACGGGACAAACTAAAAATTCCATGAAAATAAATCAGAATGAAGGATTCTAAGAATCCAATAAGATCCTATAAGAATCCAGAAGATACTACAGGACAAACTAAAAATTCCATGAAAATAAATCAGAATGAAGGATTCTAAGAATCCAATAAGATCCTATAAGAATCCAGAAGATCCTACAGGACAAAGTAAAATTCCATTAAAATAAATCAGAAGGTCCAATAGGATTATAAGAATCCAATAAGATCCTATTGGAATCCATTAAGATCCTACAGGATAAACTGAATTTTTTGACAAGGGCAATCTTTTGTTCTGAAATATTTTAATGCTAAAGCAAAGCCATTTGGGCGGAATGTTACTATCGATAGCCAGTGAGGGTTTTAAATTATGATTTATTATTTATTTTGTCTTCAAACTGTCTTAGAACATATTAGTAAAATCATGTAAGACTAACGTTAAATTACAACATCAGGCTAACTGACAGAACCGACCAACGGTTAACCTCCCTT